TGTATGGCAAGAGGTAGTTAGAAATGTCCGACTTAAAAGTAACCAATACTGTAGTGGGAGAGGTATTAGCCTAGAATTCAGAAAATCAGAGATCTAGGTTTGCTGTCGTGTCGCCTTTGTAATCTTGGACAAATTAACTCTGGATTGAGAGTCCTCATCTTGAAAACTGGGGTGAATAAATAAATACTTTTCAGGCTAATTTCTGGCACTACTGCCAGGATCAAATGAGGTCACAGATGAGAAGGCTTTGAGAAAAAAGAAAACCCTTTGCAAATTTTCTAAGTTACCATTAATACAGATTTTTGGTCTATGCAAATCAAGTATAAGTGGAATGCAGCATTATTTTTTAGTACCTGGAAATAGTTGATTCACCCAAATGTTTATCGAGTGCCTTTGTGCAAGACCTTGGGGGAAGGGAGTGGAGAGTTGAGAAGATGAAAACTACCTTTTTTTTTTTTTGAGCGCCTGTTTTGTATTGAGAGCTGTCCTTAAAGATAAGACCTTAAACCCTCAGGAATTTACAATCTAGAAGGAGAGAAATCACTGTACGTATAAGGAGAATTGGTGCCTTTATGGATATGAGTATTGAGTCCATGGGATTTGTTAGCAGGTGGACAGTACAGAGGTTGATGTTGTCACTTTCTAACAATCAGCCTGGCTGAAAGTGTGTTAAGAAACTGCCCTGATCTTCTTTTGCCCCCAGGCAGGCCTCCTCCTGTGTGACTTCCCTAACATCTTTCACACTGCTCTTCCCTGGGGCCCCCCCTATCAGTAATTCAAATAGTATCATAACAGATTAGTGACTAGTCTTTTCCTGCACCAGCTCTTTATCGACTTCTTTAAGACTTGAACGGTTTCCCTTTGAAGGCTGCCCTGGGCCAATTGAGCAGAATTAACCAGCCCTGCCTTTCCTTGTGAGCATTCCACTCTATTGTGGCAAGTGAGCCTTTGTTTTACCTGTCCACCTCCCTACTGGTCTGTCAGCTGGAGCTCACAGGGCAGACACAGCCCCCCAGGCAGGTGCTGAGTCAATGTTTGCTGAACTAGCTGGACCCGTTCCTCTCTCTGAGAGCCTTTCGGGCTGTGTCATAGAAATGAGCACTATATGGCTGGCTACCTTTGTCACCAGCTAGCCTTTATAATGATAGTGGATCAAGGAATTGGGAAACCATGTGATGTACTAGGGCCGTTCTTGAACCTGGTGATTTTTTATATTTTGGAGTTCTTACTGCTCCTTAAATTCCTTATTCTTTCTTGTTGATTTAAAATAACCTTTTTTATTAATTACATGAGTAAAATACTGAAGTTATATAAAGTTTTAAAAGTATAGGTATGTAAATAAGAAAATCAAAATAGGGGTACGTGGGTGGCTCAGTCTGAAGCGTCTGACTCTTGATTTTGGCTCAGGTCATGATCACACAGTTTGTGAGATCGAGCTCCATGTCAGGCTCTGTGCTGACATTGTGGAGCCTGCTTGGGTTTCTCTCTCTCTGCCCCTTCCCCATTGTGCGTGCATTGTCTCTCTCTCTCTCTCTCAAAATAAATAAACATGAAAAAATTTAAGAAAATGAAAATAATCTATAATTCCAATATCTAGGAATAACTAATGAATATTTTGAAGGCTTTTCTCATCTTTTTAAGGTCTTTTAAAAAATGCATGGGGAATGACTGCTAATAGGTAGGGGTTTCTTTTTGGGATGATGAAAATGTTCTGGAATTAAAAAGTGTGAATGACGTACGACTTTGTGAATATCCTAAAACAACAACAACAACACTGAATTGTACGCTTTAAAAGGGTGAACTTTCTGGTATGTGAATCATATCTCAATAAAGCTGCTATTCTTTTAAAATGCTTGTAGATACATACAGTGTTGTCTTTTTCTGACCTGAGAGAAGGTTATGGATTTCATACTTCTCTTCTGCTAAATGTTTCCACATATGTGAGAATGTTCTCTTACATAACCACAAGCCAATGATCAAATTCAGGAAATTTAACACTGATCGAATACTAATATTTATGATGCCATGCATAGTTAGATTCCATCAGTTGTTCCAATGATGTCGGAACCTGATGGCAGGTTTTTTCTTCTTATCCAGGAGCCAATTTAGGTCCACACATTCCTTAAAAAAAAATTTTTTTTTTTGAAAGAGAGGGAGAGAGAAAGAGAGAGAGTAGGATTGGGGGAGGAGCAGAGAGAGAGGGAGAGAGAGAGAATCCCAGGCAGGCTCTGAGTTCTACGCTAAGCCCAAAGTGGGGCTCAATCTCACAACCAAGAGATCATGACCTGAGCTGAAATCAAGAGTTGGATGGTTAACCGCTTAACCCACTGAGCCACCCAGTTGCCCCTTGCACATTCCTTTTGATTGTAATGTTTGTATTTCTGGAACAGTTCCTCAGTCTTTCTTTGATTTTCACGACGTTGGCATTTTTGAAAGTAACAAGTTACTGGAGTTCCTGGGTGGCTCAGTCGGCTAAGTGTCTAACTTTGGCTCAGATCTCATAGTCTGTGGGTGTGAGCCCAACATTGGTCTCTGTACTAACAGCTCAAAGCCTGGAGCCTGCTTCAGATTCTGTGTCTCCCTCTCTCTCTCTGACCCTCCTCATGTCTGCCCACTCATGTTCCGTATCTCTCAAAAATAAAAACATTTAAAAAAGAGAGAAAATAAGTTAGTGGTTTCGTAGAATTACACTCAATTTAGATATACCTGTTTCTTCACCATTAAGTTCAGGTAATGCATTTTGGCAGAAATGTTGAGTGCTGCTCAATGCCTCACATCAGGAGGGCCATTATGACAGTCTGTCCATTATTGGTGATCACTTGGGTAAGGCGGTGTCCACTATAAAGTCACCATTTTCCCTTTAAAGTGTTTTTTTAAAATCTTTGATGTTTTATTAATTTTTGACAGAGAAAGAGAGACAGAGCGTGAGCATGGGAGAGGCAGAGAGAGAGGGAGACACAGAATCCGAAGCAGGCTCCGGGCTCTGAGCTGTCAGCACAGAGCCCAATGCGGGACACGAACCCATGAACCGCCAGATCATGACCTGAGCCGAAGTCCGAGGCTCAACGGACTGAACCACCCAGGTGCCCCTAAAGTGTTTTTTTAAGGAAAGGAATTTTATAAGTGAAACTTTATCCAGGTTTTATTGTTATGCTGATGTTTTTGAATGAGAGAAAGATGTGACAGTATCTGAAGATTAAATGAAAAAAAACAATCCAGTCAAGGATGAGGAGGCAGAGGCGCCTGGGTGGCTCAGTCGGTTAAGCGTCCTACTACTACTCAGGTCATGATCTCACAGTTTGTGGGTTCTAGCCCCGCGTCAGGCTCTGTGGTGACTGCCAGCTCAGAACCTGGAGACTGTTTCGGATTCTGTGTCTCCCTCTCTCTCTGACTCTCCCCTACTCATGCCGTCTCTCTCTGTCTCTCTCTCTCAGAAATAAATAAAACATTAAAAAAAAATTCAAACTCATGAACCATGAGATGTTGACCTGAGCCAAAGTCAGACATGTAACCGACTGAGCCACCCAGGCTCCCCTTGGTTTAAACAACTTAAATGCTGTGAGAAAGAAGTAATAGGAAGGAGAGTTGAAGAAGTGAGGGGATACCCCAGAGGGTATCCCTGAGGGAAAAGGAGAGGAAGCCTTTAGACCAGTGGTTTCAACTTGGATATCTACAGGGCCAGGCAGGTAATGTAGACGAGTGAGGTGGGCCAGTGTGAACTAAGGTGACACAGACTGCAACATTTTAAGGGCCTATGTCCAATGAGCTTGTGATGAGAGAGCTTACATCTTCACCCATTGCTGTGAGCTTCACCCTCCTGTGAGAAGAATATATATCCTCACCCCACTGCCCTGGGGTTTGCCTTGGTCAATGGGATATGAGCAGATGTGCCACATGTCAGGTATCAGCAGAATTTTTAAGAGTCGTTGTGTGGTTTTCTCTGCCTTTTGTTCCTTTCCTTCTGCCATGAGAACATTGTGTCCCAGATAGGGGCTGTTCCTTCAGCTTGGGTCATGGAATAAAGGCACATGAATCAGAACTAGAGCCAACGCCACCACCAATGGAAACCATGAAAGAGAAATAAACTCTGTTGTTGCAAGCCAGTGGGATTTTGAAGCCATTAGTTACCACAGCAAAACTGACGAATGCAGATATTCAACTAAAATAAAACCATTCTAAGCTATCATTTTTTACTCCTCAAATTAGAAAGATTCAGAAGTTTAACAGCGTGCTTTGCCACTAAGGCTGAGAACACAGGCACTTTCATATACTGGTGCTCTGCAGAAGTTGGCAATCCTTATCAAAATTACAAATGCAGATGGCAGTAATAAAAAAGGTAATAATAAGTCTGGCAAGGATTTGGAGAAATTGGAACCTTTGTACATTACCGATGGGAATGTAAGATCGTACTGGTGCTTTGGAAAACAGTTTGGTAGTTCCTCAAAAAGTGAAGCACAGGGGCTCCTGGGGTGGCTTAGTCGGTTAAGCGTCTGACTTTCGCTTAGGTCATGATCTCGCGGTTTGTGGGTTCGGGCCCCGCGTCGGGCTCTGTGCTGACTGCCAGCTCAGAGCCTGGAGCCTGTTTCAGTCTGTGACTCCCTCTCTCTCTGACCCTCCCCTGCTCACGCTCTCTCTCTCTTCTAATAAATAAAACATTAAAATTTTTTTTTTAAATTATGCATTGAGTATTTTCTATTTATTAGGGATTCAGGTCATGGGAACACGAATATTAGTTAGAAAAAGAACGAGGCAGACATTGCAGTATGTATAGTTTTAAATAATTAATACCACTGTGTACAATAAACTGTTATATGACAATACCAAGTTTAGCAAATGCAAATTATCTCAAGTTNGGGCTCTGTGCTGACTGCCAGCTCAGAGCCTGGAGCCTGTTTCAGTCTGTGACTCCCTCTCTCTCTGACCCTCCCCTGCTCATGCTGTGTCTCTCTCTCTCCTAGAAATAAACAAAAACATTAAAAAAAAAAAGTGAAGCACAGAGTTACCATATGACCCAGCAATTCCACTACCAGGCACGTACCCAGGAGAACTGAAAACGTGCCCACACAAAAACTTGTACATTAATGTTCAGAGCAGCACTGTTCACAACAGTCAAGAAGGAGACACAACCCAAAGGTCCGTAAGTTGGTGAACAGATAAATAAAATGTGGTATATCTACATTTTAGATGGATGGAATATTATTTGGCTGTAAAAGGGAATGAAGTGCTGATATATACTACAAAAATGAATGAAGCTTGAAAACATTATGTTCAGTAAAAGAAGCCAGTCACAGAAGATCAGATATTGTATGTTTCTATTTATATGAAAGGTCCAGAATAAGCAAAAATGGAGAGGCAGAAAATATGTAGTGGTGGCTGGAGGTATAAGGGGGTGGGAAGTGAAGAATGAGGCATGACCACTGATTAGTTTCTTTTTGCGATGATGAAAACGTTGTAGAATTAGCGATGATGGTTGCACCATTTTGTTACCATATAAAAAGCCCACTGAAATGTACCATTTAAAGGGGTTTGTTTTGGGGCACCTGGGTGGCTTAGACGGTTAAGCGTCCCACTTTCGCTTAGGTCATGATCTCGCGGTTCATGGGTTCAGGCCCCGCGTCGGGCTCTGTGCTGACTGCCAGCTCAGAGCCTGGAGCCTGTTTCAGTCTGTGACTCCCTCTCTCTCTGACCCTCCCCTGCTCACGCTATCTCTGTCTCTCTCTCTCTCCTAGAAATAAATAAAACATTAAAAAAATTAAAAAAAAATAAAGGGGTTTGTTTTGTGATATGTAAATTATATCTCAACAATGCTGTTCTATTTAAAAAAGAATAGGGGCACCTGGGTGGCTCAGTCGGTTAAGTATCTGATTTTGGCTCAGGTCATGATCCTGCGATGTGGGAGTTCGATCCCTGCATTGGGCTCTGTGTGGACAGTGCAGAGCCTGCTTGGGATCATCCCTCTCTCCCTCTCTTCTCCTCTCTCTATCCCTACCCCACTTGCGCTCTCTCTTTCTCTCTCTCTCAGAATAAATAAATAACCCCCTCAAAAAAGAATATAGAAGTTCTATATATACTGTTAAAAGATCCTCTGTATATTGTTAACTGAGAGAAAGCAAGGTACAAACCATGATTATATGCTATCCTTTGTGTGAAAGAAAAGTAAGAATACATATTCACATTTGTTACTATTTGCTGTAAAAACTCAAAGATTACCCAGGAAACTATTAAAAATGGGGTACCTGTGGGAGTGGAGGGGAGAATGGGGCACTTGGAATGGGTTGGGAATTAGACTTTTCACTATTAATATTTTTATATATTTTGACTTTTGAACTACCTGAATGTAGTGCTTACTCAAAAAAACAAACAAACAAACAAACCAAAAATCGGAAAGAAAGCATAATGAATGTAAAACTGCAATAATAATAAAGGGGCAACTCCCATTACAGGTGATTGTTGCTATTAATTCAGGCCCAGTGTTGCCAGGCCTTCTGAGTTTTTTCACGAGAAGCTGGAAGTTTTCAGTAGTGACAATCATTTTTAAAAGTTTTTTTAAAATGTTTTTTATTTATTTCTAGGAGAGAGAGAGAGAGAGAGAGACAGCGTGAGCAGGGGAGGGTCAGAGAGAGAGGGAGTCACAGACTGAAACAGGCTCCAGGCTCTGAGCTGGCAGTCAGCACAGAGCCCGACACGGGGCTCGAACCCATGAACCGCGAGATCATGACCTAAGCGAAAGTGGGACGCTTAACCGACTAAGCCACCCAGGCGCCCCCATTTTTAAAAGTTTTAAAACATGGGCACCTGGCTGGCTCAGTTGGCAGAGCATGTGGCTCTTGATCTTGGGGTTTTGAATTTGAGCCCCACACTGGAACTAGAGATTATGTAAACAAACAAACAAAATATACGATACAAGCCAAACAAAACCACCTCTGTGCATGAGAGTTGGCTCACCTGTGACCTCGCTTAGACTGTGAGATTCATGAGGACAGGGCTATGGCATTTTCTTCCCCTCTCTCTCTTTTAATTGAGTAAGCGCTATGCTCAACATGGGGCTTGAGCTCACTGACTGAGCCAGCCAGGTGTCCCTAGAGCTATGGTCTTTCTCTCTCTTGTACCTCTAGCAGCCATCAAAGTACTTGGCACATACTAGATACTGAACAAATACTGAAAGAAGGAAGGGAGGAAGAGAAGGAGGAAGTGGGGGAGGGGGCGGAATCCAGAGGGCAGATAACACAAAACTGAGTGCTTTTACCTCTGAATATGGTTAGTACCTTCATTACAGCCCCTGGGATTCCCTTCCCCTCTCTCCTGTGTTGGAGGTATTTGATTTAGTCTGACTCTCTGTCTTTTATCTATGACCTGATTTCGGTTTATTTGTTTTATTGTATCTCTGGAAGTCTTTAGATCCTCCATTGTTCTAAAATAATATAATCTGTCTTTGTTTTGGTCATTCAGTGAATCCTTTTAATCTAGCTTTCTTTTCTTTACAGCTGTCTTTGATTTCCTTCCTCCTTTTCCCCCTTCTATTTCTGAAACTTCTATTACTCGACTATTGGGCTTTCTGTATTGATCTGAAGTTCTTTTCTTTTCTCTTCTTTTTTAATGTTTTATTTATTTCTGAGAGAGAGAGAGAGAGAGAGAGAGACAGCATGAGCAGGGGAGGGGCAGAGAGAGAGGGAGGAACAGAAACTGAAACAGGCTCCAGGCTCTGAGCTGTCAGCACAGAGCCCAACGTGGGGCTCGAACCCACGAACCGTGAGATCATGACCTGAGCCGAAGTCGGACACTCAACCAACTGGGCCACCCAGGCGCCCCTAAAGTTCTTTTCTTTATCCATCTTTTTATATTTTTATTTTTCTGTGTGATTTTATTGGCTTCCTTTTATTTCTAATTTTTCATTTTGGTTGTCATAAATTTTTTTAATGTTTTTTAAATTTATTTCTGAGAGAGAGAGAGACAGCGTAAGCAGGGGAGGGTCAGAGAGAGAGGGAGACACAGAATCTGAAGCAGGCTCCAGGCTCTGAGCTAGCTGTCAGCATAGAGCCCGACGTGGGGCCAGAACCCACGAACCGTGAGATCATGACCCAAGCCGAAGTCGGATGCCCAACCGACTGAGCTGCCCAGGCGCCCTGTCATATGTTTAAAATCCTAGAGCTTCTTCATATTCTCTGAGTACTCCTTTTTGAGGGCGACCTATTTTTTTTTTTAATGAATGCAATATCTTCTTGAAATTTTGAGGCTTTCTTCTGCCCCTGCATTTCTCTTCTTCCACCAAATGCCTTTTTCCAGTTTGTCTTTTCACCTCTGTGGTTCAGGTTAGGGGCATTTCTCGAGGGTCTGGTAACTCTGGCTGGCTGGCTGCTCCCATAGAAGAGGGAGGCACTCAGGCATATTAGAAGGCCAAGTGCATGGATAGGCCATATTGACTTGTGGGCACCACTGACCAGGTGATCAGGTGAAGACTGAAATAAGAGCATCAGGAGGTCTTTTCTCTGGGGCTATTGAGGTCAGTTTCTCCAGAGAGGAATCCTTTGGTCTCCTGGCCCTGGAAGGTTCACCCCTGGCCACTAGTTCTGAATGCTGGTTAGGAGAAAGGAGTTGATTTGATAGTAATTTCCTCCTAATCCTCCTGCATTCAGTGCAGTGCCTCATGCTTACCTGCTGTGCGTCAAGGCTCTAAGTCTTGGTCTCCCTAGGTCCCAACCTACCTGTTTCATTTTCTCCTGAAAACAAATCTCTTGTTTTCTTTGGAAGCAGGGGGAAAGAAGGGGAGTTGCCTGGCTGAATAGGTTGGGGGAGAAGAGTGAGGGTCTAACTGTTCATTATACAAACATACACAACTCCTTCCTGCCTTCTAAGTTGGTGGGTGTTTTCAGTTCCTGAGCTCTACTGGGCTTCTGCCTGGAGAACCAGCTCGTTTCCCATTGGCATGGCCTTCTGCGGACACATTGCTTTTGATTTTCTGGCATTTGCTAAACCAGGTACCACTTCTCATCTGCTTTCTATCTTCTATGATTACTGACCTCTCTCACCTCTTGTCTTTCTTCTCATTTGCTTTATTCTCCTGGCTTTAAAGTTCCACTGATATTTTACTGGGGTTTCAGGAAGGAAGAGTGGTAAACGTAGGTGTTTAATCTGCTGTGTGTAACTGGAATGAGCACAGAGACCATGAATTTATAGCGATATTAACCTGAATGGTTGGGTGGCTTTTACTAGCAGAATCCAGTAGTCCTGGTAGATTTGGTAACACAAGGACTGGCCAGTTGGATTGGGGTTTCACTGGGTGGATTTGGTGGAAACACCAAAGGGCCGGGGAGTTGAGGATTTTGCACAAAGAGTGGTTGAAACGACAGAACATACAATCTAGGTTGCGTAAGTGAAAGGAATAAAGGTATGTGGGAGTTGATGCTTGGAGGAGTCGATGGACTAGAGATCCCATGAAATTGGAAGAAACTTGTAAATTCTTTAACAAATCCTACTTGGTCCTACCAGCATCTCCTCAGCCAGGGGCTAAGGCCCTATCCCTAACTCCATTCATGTTTCTTTGCTTTTGTCCTTCTTCCTTTTAAAAAGAAAAATTCTTTGCAGGCAGGGTTCCTTCCCTCTCTCAGGTACCCGGGGCAGGATTGTGTATGGGGAACAAGGGTCGTCATGTCTCACCTCCCCGTTTATCCCTGGAGGAAACTGGGAGTGTTAAGAGCCCTCACCTCCAGATTTCCCTTCTGAGCGATGAATGAGGTAGAATGGGTGAAGTGGGTGCTGGGAAGGCAGACAGCCTTCCCTGCAGACCCTCTCTTCCGAGCTTTGGGAAAAGCCTCCGCCCTTCCAGGGGTCTCTGGTTGCTCACCAGCTGTTCCCTCCATACAAACCCCTTGCAATCCAGAGCGCCAGAAAAGTCTTCCCTGGCCTGCTTGCTCTATCTACCGGCCTGAACACCTGTGAATACCAGCAGATGCCTTGCGGGTTCTCTCTTGAAAACCCCTTGTTTTACAGAAACTGAGGCCTTGAAGCGCCCTCACTCCAGGCCCAGTGGTCTTTGCGCCACAGCAAACTCAGTGCCTGAGAGAATCACGTGAGAGGCAATGGTTAGGAGCTGGGGCTTCAGAGTCTGACACACGTAGGTTCAGACCAACTTGGCCACATGCTGGCTTCATGATCTCAACCAGTGATATACGTAGTACCTCTGGAATCTTAGAGGTCCCTCTTCCTCACCTTTAAATGTGGACAATAGGGGCACCTGGGTGTCTCATTCGGTTAAGCGCCTGACTTTGGCTCAGGTCATGATCTCGTGAGTTCGAGCCCTGCGTCAGGCTCTGTACTGACAGCTCAGAGCCTGAAGCCTACTTCGAATTCTGTGTCTCCTTCTCTCTCTCTGGGTAATAAACTTACACTAAACAGTTGTAAAGATGATGATGATACATATTAAGTACCGAGTGTGGCATATGGGAAGTGCTGTCTTTCTCTGCTTCTCTCCCTCAAGCTTCTCCACCCTAACATCCCACCGCTGCCACCCCACCCTTAGGGGAGCTAAAGTGACACTGATGAAGGATTAACTCTTTCATTCACAAGGCCTGGGTCAGCTCTCCTATTTCTCCCAAACCCAATCTGCTGAGGGAAAGTTTAAGGGTGGGACCACTGTGGTCCTTTGAACCTGTGTTTTCAACTAGGGCAGGGGTCCAGTGGCTATTGACAGTGGATTATATCAGAGCAGCCCACTTTGAGGAAGGTTCCTCTTCATGTTTCCTTAATCCTCTCGTCCCTCCATTTGGGGCGGGGGTTCCTAAGCCTTGGTTTTCCCGTCTCTCCCTGGCCATCTCTCTGAACGTTCTCTCCCATGGGGAAGGGGGCCCATCCCAAGGCTTTAGCTGTACCCTGACTCTTGAATCTGCTTTCTGTTCTAGCAGTTCATCAGAGCTTTGGGCTGACCTCCTCATTCCTCTATCCTTTCCTACCCACACCACCCTTATTCAAAGGTGGATCGCTTCTTGCCTGGTGTACAGCAAAGCCCTGTTAATTCTGCACCCTGTGCCAGACACTGGTCTTCTGAGAGTCATTTTCATAACATTATCCCTTGCCACAGAGTCTTTCAATGACCTCCTGTTTTCTGCAGGGTAAAACCCAGACCCTTGGGTCTGGCTGGCACTCAGGCCTCTCCGTAATCTCATGCAACCCTGCCCACCCTGCCTTTGCTCCCATATCATCTTTGCAGACCTCCCTCCAGCCAGCCTGGCGCCTTCACTGACCTTCCATACTCTTTCCCATGTTAGCCCATGGCAGCCCCCGACCCCCGAATGCCTCTCTTCCCTGCTTTCGCCAATCCCGTTTTTCCTGCTCACTTTCAAGATCCAGCCCCAGTCCAGCTGCAGATCTTTCCCAGCCTTCAGCCGCCATCCGGCTCCGTTTCCTCAATCTCCACATCCAGCCTGTCCTGGATCCACATCCAGCCTGTCCGGGGCTGTGGCTGTTGCATGTGCATCTATGTCCTCCTAGAGGACAGAGAGGCTTTCTCAGTCCCCAGCACCCTGTTGCGAACACAGTTGGTGCTCACTTCGAACAGCTGCTTTCTGTGTTGAGCGCTCTCAGCCTGCAAGGCACAGGATGACACTTGTTGAACAAAATGCGTCCTCAACATAATCCCTTTTTCTTCCTGCTCTAGGAGAGGACTCTGGAAATTGGGATGGTTCTGAAAAGCCTCTGGGGGTTGGGATGCAAAGAGATAAGCCTGTTTCACCTCCACCTGTCTCTCTCAGGCTCCCTCCCCCTCAGCCTCCAGGGTCCCCTGCAGCAGTTTCCTGCCCCCTCTGCCCCCACCTCCCTGCCAAACATTCCTCATGTCCTGGCTGTGGTCATTGTGGTTGCTGCCAGGTCCCTCTTCAGCCCTCTGATTCTCTAGTCCTGCTGGCTGTTCTCTTAACCCTGATGTTAATATTTTTGCCTTTCATCGCATCTCCCCCTCTTCATGTCGGCTAATGATTATTCAGGGAATTAACCAGCTGTCCTTATCCGAAATCTGTAAGTTCTCTTTAGGGCAAAGGTCACGGAGTGATCTCATGATCATATGACTACTGCCAATACCTCACCCCCTCTGCTGTCCTGGTCCTAACACTCTCAAAAGTCAGTTGTGTGCCTTGCCTCTGGCTCACTTGAACAGAGAGACCTGAGTGGAAAGGTAAGCCTCCCGTCTTTGTTTTAGATGGGCAGCGGCCGTGAGTTTCTACCTGCTCACTACTAACTTTCCTCCTGTTGCTACTGACTTTCTCCCTGAGCCCTCGCTTGCCCTTGTCTGTACAGTGAAGGCTGGGACTGGGCCGTAGGACTGGGGCCGTAGGTCTGTTATGGGGGTTGGGATTCTTGCTGGTTAGGTCCAGGTGGGGTACCCAGGCTGAGTAGGGAATAATAACTCCTGCTTTGCTCACAGATTTCATCCTGATGGCTGACTCTAAACCACTCTGCTCCCCTGATGGGGACCCTGTGGCTGCAGAAGCCTTGCTCCGGGATGTGTTTGGGATTGTTGTGGATGAGGTCATTCGGAAAGGGACCAGCGCTTCAGAGAAGGTGGGTCCTTTTCCCCTCCTTCTCCCGTGCATCCCACCTGGCTCAGAGCTGTCCTCCTCCCACCAGGCTTCTCCCCAGAGTTCATCACTGTCTCACTGTGTGCCTCAGGGATTCTATACTGGGTCACACCGTCTTTACCCTTGTTCATGAGTTGCTTTGGAAATATTCCCAACTCGTTTTCAGTGCAAGTTGAGATGTGGCTCGGGCAGCCCATTGGTGGAGTGTCCACAAGCCCCCCAGAATCCCCTGCTTCTCTTGCTAGGTCTGCGAGTGGAAGGAGCCGGAGGAGCTGAAACGGCTTCTGGATCTGGAGTTGCGCAGCCAGGGCGAGGCGTCGGGGCAGATCCTGGAGCGGTGCCGGGCGGTGATCCGCTATAGCGTGAAGACCTGTGGGTCCTGGGCTGTGGTGGGAGGAGTGGCCGGAGTTGTTTGCTCCTCAGCTCCACTCTGAGCTCCCCACCCCCTTCTCCAGGTCACCCGCGCTTCTTCAACCAGCTCTTCTCAGGGTTGGATCCCCATGCTCTGGCCGGGCGCATTGTTACTGAGAGCCTCAACACCAGCCAGTGAGTCTTCCCGAGGCCCCTTCTGCCACCTTACAAAGGCTTGGGTTTGGGGGAGACATACCCCTGGGGGAAGGGGGAGAATGGTGCTGCTCCCCACCCCTGCCCCCTGCTTTCTGGCATCTCTGCTGGCAGTTTTCCTCCTTGTACCCTTTGGGCTCCCTTTCTCCCAGCTTTCTCATGCCTGCTGACCCCGGTTTTACCTCGTTCTTGCTTCCCTGGCTCTTTGTCACCAGCTCATTCCTCCCTTGGACCTTTCCTATTCCTCTGAGAGTCTGCCCTGGCCAGCCCTCCCTCCCCTTTTCTCTTCTCATCCCTCTCTCTCCTGGCAGGTATACTTATGAAATCGCCCCCGTGTTCGTACTCATGGAAGAAGAGGTGCTGAAGAAACTCCGTGCCCTGGTGGGCTGGAGCTCTGGGGATGGGGTCTTCTGCCCTGGTATGTGAGAAGGAAGGGGCCTCTCTCTGGCCCTTTGGAGGGTTCCTCCTCCGCCACTATTCTCTTGCTCTGTGCTGACTCCTCTTTGTTTCCTCTCCAGCTGGGCTCAGGCCAAACCAGAGAGAAGCTGCCCAGTCTTCTGTATCCTCATGTTTGCCAAACAGTGCATGGGTTCAACACTCCCATGCCTGCTCTGGGGAGGGAAGGCACTGTCCTGGGTCAGCCCAGGATGTGGAGGGGAGCAGTCAGGGGGCCCCGCAGATACTGGGGCTGCCCTGTGTTGTCAGCGTGCCATTTGCAGAGCCCTGGGAGCCCATCTCTCGTGCTTCTCTGATCCGTTCTCCTGGGTGGAGAGGTCAGGGGAAGTAAGCTCCAGTTTTGACCCACTGCTCCTCCCTCTTGCCACCCTCCCTGTGACAGGTGGCTCCATCTCCAACATGTATGCTGTGAACCTGGCCCGCTATCAGCGCTACCCGGATTGCAAGCAGAGGGGCCTCCGGGGACTGCCGCCCCTGGCGCTCTTCACATCAAAGGAGGTGGGAAGAGGCTCAGACCTACCTTGGGCTCCTGATTCTAATCTTGAGCCAGCCAGAGTGGGCCTGCCCAGACCCATCTCTTCTGGGGCCAGCCTGCCCCCAGGCACAGGTGCTTCCTTCTAGTCAAGGGGCTGAGTAAAGTCTTCCGTTCACCTTGCTTTCCGTCTGAAGGTAGCAAAGGGACAATGAGTGCAGCGGACATCGTCCACACCCTTTCTACTCAGAGACCGGCAGAATTAGGATCATCTGGGAGCTTGTCAGAAATGCGGGATCTCAGGGGTGCCTGGGTGGCTCAGTCGGTTGAGTGTCCGACTTCGGCCCAGGTCATGATCTCACGGTTTGTGGGTTCGAGCCCTGCATCGGGCTCTGTGCTGACAGCTAGCTCAGAGCCTGGAGCCTGTTTCAGATTCTGTGTCTCCCTCTCTCTCTGCCCCTCCCCTGCTCACGCTGCCTTTGTCTCTCTCAGAAGAAACAAACAAGCAAACAAAAAAAGAAATGCAGGATCTCAGGCCCCAGCGCAGACATACAGAATCTGAATCGGCTTTTGAACCAGACGCCCTGGTGATCTGTAGGCACACGAACGTTTGAGAGCTCTGGTCTACAGGGTCTCACCTCCTGCAGCTCACACACTGCCCAGTCTCTGTTCCCCATCCTCCCTGCCCTCCTGCCCCCAGCCTAATCTGCCCTCTGCCTTTCTCCACAGTGTCATTACTCCGTTAAGAAGGGAGCTGCTTTTCTGGGACTTGGCACCGACAGTGTCCGAATAGTCAAGACAGATGAGAGGTGAAGGTCCTTCTGTTCACATGGCTCAGACCCAGCCTGGCACAGTGTACCTTCCTGCTGCCAGAAGTTCTGGCCTCAGGGCCATGCCCCGAGTGGGCTTTTCTCCCCTCTGTTCCTACAGAATTGCCATTTCTGTCTACCGGTGTCTCTTGCCCTGTCCCCTGAGATCTGCTTACCCCCCTAGGGAAATAGTCAACATTGTGACCTCTGTGTAACGAACCCCACATTACCCTGTTCTCAACAGGTCTGCTTCCTAGCTGAGAAAACCTAATACTTCTTTACCCACTCAGTTTTCTTTTCCAGAGGGAAAATGATTCCTGAGGATCTGGAGAGGCAGATCAGTCTGGCTGAGGCTGAGGTGAGTGAGCGAGGGGCGCTGGGACGGTGGAGCAGAACCCCTTGGTCTTTTCTTAGAGGGTTCTCTGGGCTCTTCCCTCTTCTTGACTTCTGTTCCCAACTCTCCCATGGGCTAAAGTGATCGGTGGGAAGCCTCAGGAGCGAGGGCACTCTGTGCTGCTCTCAGGGACTTTGCTGAGACCTGTAGGCAGGACCGGACCCCAAGACACAGGAGCAGGCCTGAGTCACTGAGTGGAGTTCCAAGGCGGCACCAGAAGGAAGATGTTGGGGGCCTAAGTGTAGCGTGGAAGGTTTCTGCGAGCTGGGAGACTCTGTGCAGGGAGAAGCTCAGAAGACCTGGTGGCCAGTGATGTGGCCTGTGCCGGCTTTGAGCTGTGGGAAATATGGAGGCCCCAGCACTCCCCACCGCACTGGAGGCCCGTGTGAATCACTGCGGCTGCCTTGGGGGGCGTTTTGGCACTTTCTATACATTTTTCTTTTTGTATTTGGAGGGATTTTTAATTTTGTTTTTGTTGGTTTTCTATTCTAATAACTATGCAGTGATGTCACTTTGTGATGGAATTTCCTTAAGAATTAATGACGTTGAGTATCTTTTAATGTGCTTCTTTGCTATCTTTATAGCTTCTTGGTAAGTTGAATGTTCAAACGCTTTGCCCATGCATGTGCATATACATATATATATTTTTTAAATATTTATTTTTGAGAAAGAGACAGAGACAGAGTGTGAGGGGGGAGGGGCAGAGAGAGGGAGACACAATTCAAAGCAGGCTCCAGGCTCTGACCTGTCAGCACAGAGCCTGAGGTGGGGCTTGAACTAACGAACCGTGAAATCATGACCTGAGCTGAAGTCAGACACTCAACCAACTGAGCCACCCAGATGCCCTGTGTATATATATATATATATATATATATATATTTTTTTTTTTTTAATTGAAGTATAGTTGACACACAATGTTCCATTCATTTTAAGTGTACGGCATAGTGATTTGACAAGTTTGTGTTATGCTGTGCTCACCACAAGTGTAGCTACCATCTGTCACTGTACAATGTTATTGCAGTATCATTGACTATATTCCCTATGCTCTACCTTTTGGCACTATCTCTACAAATTTTATTTTATTTTTTATTAAAAAATTTTAAATATTTATTGTTGAGAGAGAGAGAGAGAGACCAGTGCAAGTGGGGGAGGGGCAGAGAGAGGGGGAGATACAGAATCTGAAGCAGGCTCTAGGCTCTGAGCTGTCAGCACAGAGCCCGATGTGGGGCTCAAACCCACGGACCATGAGATCATGACCTGAGACGAAGTCATATGCTCAACCAACTGAGCCACCCAGGTGCCTCTATCTCTACAAATTTTAAATATATCTCTCCACTGATTCAGAGTCCTACTGCTAGGGTTTATTCTATTAATCATCATCACAAGTGCTTAGAATTCTGTACACCAGAGTAAAGTGTAAAATTAAAAAAATGTTTTTAATGTCCTTCAGTAGATAAAATTATGGCATATCTGTGTATTTCAGTTTCTTCCTTTGTGTGATGAGCATGATATAGAACTTACTGCATAGGTAAATGCACTTGGAATAGTGAAGCACTATATAAATATTAGTTGCCATTATTGTTTTTATTGTTATTTTTGGAGTATGGCATATTAAAGGAATAATGTGGGAATGTATATTCTAACATGAAAATACCACCACTATATATTTAAGTAGACATAGGTAAAGCATATATAGCAAGTTACAGTATGAAATGGACACTTTGAACCTATGGTTATTTAGAATAATGTATACTTATTGATATATGGATGTTACCTCTGACTAGCAGTATGATCAACAATTAGAATAGTAGAGTACTACTTTTATTGTATAAACTGGTGTTTTTTGTTTTTGTTTCTGATATTAACTATATTGAGATGCAATTCACATGGCATACACTTGACCCACTTACAGTGTGCAATTCAGTGGTTTTTAACAGAGTTGTGCAACCATCACTACAATAGATACTAGAACATTTTCATCACCCTAAAAAGAAACCTCTCCCCCTTTAACCATCAATCCCCAATTTCCCCCAAACCTCCCACTAGGCAACAGTAAGCTACTTTGTGTCTCTATGGATTTGCCTACTCTGGATTTTTCATATAAGTGGACTCACACTCTGCATGGTCCTTTGTGATATCCTTCTTTGACTCAGCACACTGTCTTCAAGTTCATGCTTGTTGTGGCGTGTGTTAGCACTTCATTCTTTGTATTGCTGGATAACATTCCATTGTATGGATAGACCACACGTCACTTATCTGTTCCTCAGTGATGGACACTTGGGTTGTTTCCACTTCTTAGCTAGTATGAGTAATACCGCTCTGAACATTTGTGTACAAGTTTTTGTGTGGACATATGTTTACATTTCTCCAGGTTACAGGTTACATACCGGGGTCAGAATTGCCCAGTCATACGGTAACTCTGTATTTAACTTTTGAAGAGCTGCCAGATGGTTTTTTAAAGTGGCTGCACCAGTTTGTAGTCCTCCCAGCACTGAGTGAGCATTCCAGTTTCTCCACATCCTCACCAACACTTGTTATTTCTCTCTTCCCCCACCCCAGTTTGTTTATTTATTTAAATTGATAGTGTTTTATTACTTTAAGGTGTACAACATACTGATTCAACAATTCTATACGTTATTCAATGCTGACCACAGTAAGTGCAGTCACCATCTGTCATCATGCATTATTACAATATTATTGACTATATTCCCGACGCTGTGCTTTCACCTCCATGACTTCTTTATTTTATACCTGGAAGTTTGTACTTCTTAATCCCCTTTATCCATTTCACCCATCCTTCTACCCACCTTCCTTCTGGCAACCAGCAGTTTGTTTTCTGTCTTTAAGAGTTCCTCCAGGGACGCCTGGGTGGCTCAGTCAGGTTAAGTGTCTGACTTCAGCTCAGGTCATGATCTCATGGTCAGTGAGTGCTGACAGCTCAGAGCCTGCTTCCAATTCTGTGTCTCCCTCTCTCTCTGCTCCTCCCCTGCTCATGCTCTGGCTCTCTATCTCTCAAAACAATGAATAAATGTTAAAAAAAAAAAAAAAAAGGAGTCCCTCCCCCCCCCTTTCTCCATTTGTTTTGGGGTTTTTTTTTTAGATCCCACATATAAGTGAATCATATGGTATTTGTCTTTTCTGACTTATTTCACTTACCATAATACCCTCTAGGTCCATGCACATTGTTGCAAATGGCAAGATCTCATTTTTTTTTTTTTATGGCTGAACAGTGTTCTATGATATATATATCATATATATAATTTTTTTTATTCTAGCCTTTCTGACAGGTATGAGGTGATATCTCATTGTGGTTTTGATTTGCATTTCCCTGATTATTTATGATATTGAGCATCTTTTCATGTGCCTGTTGGCCATCTGTATGTCTTCTTTGAAAAAAAAATGTCCACTCAGGTCCTCTGCCCAAATTTAATTTAATTTAATTTAATTTAATTTAATTTAATTATGATTGTGTTTATTTATTTGGTTTTATTCTATTTTTTTTAAAGAGAGACAGTGTGCAAGTGCACATGGTCCACAATTAGTGCAGAGCCCAATGTGGGATCGATCCCATGGCCTTGGGATCATGACCTGAGCCAAAATCAACAGTCAACCCTTAGCTGACTGAGCCACTCAGGCTCCCCTATGATTTTATTTTTAAGTGATCTCTACACCCAATGTGGGGCTTGAACTTCTAACCCCTAGATCAAGAGTCGCATGCTCTACTGACTCAGCCAGCCAGGCGCCCCCTCTGCCCATTAAAAAAAAAGTTTTTAAAAAGTTTATTATTATTATTATTATTTTTTTTTTTGAGAGAGAGAGAGAAAGAGAGAGAGAACCCTAAGGAAGCTCTGCGCTGACAGCAGTGAGTCCACTGTGGGGCTCAACCCATGAACCACGAGATCGTGACCTAAGTCAGACACTCAACTAACTGAGCCACCCAGGCGCCCCTGCCCTTTATTTAATTGGTTCATTTGTTTGTTTTTTAATTTCTCTTTTTGATTTTAGTGGGTGTGAAGTGTTATCTCCCTGTGGTTTTGATTTGCATTTCTCTGATGACTAATGATGTTGAGCATCTTGCCATATACTTATTGGCCATTTGTAGAACTTCTTTGGAGAAGTATCTATTTGGATCCTTTGCTCCGATTTTAATTGGGTTGTCTTCTGTTTTTCAGTTGTAAGCGTTCTTCATCTGTTCTAGATAGAAATCCCTTATCAGATATGTGACTTGCAAATATCTTCTTCTATTTTGTGGGTTGTCTTGTCACCTCCTTGATGGTGTCCTCTGAAGCCAAAAGTTTTAGATTTTGATGAGGTCCAATTTATCTAATTTTTTCTTTGTTGCTTGTGCTTTTGGTGTCATATATACGAAAGCTTTGTCTAACCCAAGCCCATGAAATGTTATTCCTATATTTTTATCTAAAAGTTTTATATATATATATATATATATTTGTTTTGTTTTGTTTTTATTTATTTTGACCCACCCTGAGTTTTATGTTAAGTTAAAAAAAATTTTTTGTAATGTTTATTTATTTTGAAAAAGAGAGAGAGCATGCAGGTGGGGAAAGGGCAGAGAGAGAGGGAGACACAGAATCTGAAGGGAGCTCCAGGCTCAGAGCTGTCAGCATAGAGCCTGACGTGGGGCTCAAACTCAGGAATGGTGAGATCATGACCTGAGCCAAGGTCGAATGCTTACCGACTGAGCCATCCAGGCACCCCAGTTTTTTTTTTTTTTAAGTAAGTTCTACACTCAATGTGGGACTTGAACTCATGACCTTGAGATCAAGAGATGCATGCTCTACTGGCTGAGCCATCCAGGCAACCCAAGAGTTTTATATTTTTACCTTTAACATTTAGTTCTATAATCTATTATGAGTTAATTTTTATATATGATAACAATTTCTTTTGCATGTGGATGGTCAGTTGTTCCAGCACCATTTATTGACAAGAATATTCTTTCCCCAATGAAGTATCTTGACATCCCTGATGAAAATCAGTTGACCATAAATGTGAAGTGGTATTTCTGGATTCTCAGCTCTGTTCCATTAATATGCACATCTATACTGTAGAACATATTGCCTTGACTGATGTGGCTTTGTAGTAAGTTTTGAAATCAAAAAGTGTGAGCCTTCCAACTTTGTTCTTTTTCCAGATGGCTTTAGCTATTCTGGGTCCCTTAAATTTCCATATGCATTTTAGGATCAGCTTGTCAGTTTCTGCTAAGAAGCCAACTGGGATTTTGATAGGGATTGTGTTCAATTGGTAGATCCATGAACATGGGATATCTTTCCATTTAGACCTACATTGTCTTCTTTCAACAATATTTGGTAGTTTTCAGAGTATATGTTTTGCACCGCTTTTTAAAATTTATTCCTAAGTATTTAGTCCCCTTAGTATTATAAATGAAATTGCTTTCTTAATTCTATCTTTGGATTGTTCATTGCTAACATATAGAAATACAGTTGGCTTTTTAATATTGATCTTATATCCTGAAAACTTGCTGAATTCATATATTAATAGTTTTTTTAGTGGATTCCTTAGGACTTTCTAGATACAGTATTATGTTATTTGTAAGTAGAGATAGTTTTGCTTTTTTCCTTTCTAATCTGGATGCTTTTTATTTTACTTTCTTACCCAGTTGCCCCGCTAGACCCTCAGTATAATGTTGAATAAAAGTGGGGAGAGTGGACATCCTTGTCTTGTTCCTGATTGTGGGGGAAAGGCTTTCAGTCTCGAGTACAATGTTAGTTGGGGTTTTTGTTGTTGTTGTTGTTTGTTTGTTTTTTTGTAGCTGCCCTCTATTAGGTTGAGAGCATTCTCATCAACTCCTAGTTTGTTGAGTAGTTTTATCAAACAGGAGTGTTGGATTTTGTCATGTTTTTCTGTGTTTATTGAAATGTGTCTTTTCCCTTTATTTTGTTAATAAGTATGTTACATTAATTGATTTTGGGATGCTAAATTGAACTTGCACTCCTGGGACAAGTCAATTTTGTCATAATATATAATTTTTTATAAATTGCTGATTTAAAAAAATTTTTAAATTTATGTTTGGGAGAGAGTGCATGGGAGGGGCAGAGAGAGAGGAAGACTGAGGATCCAAAGCAGGCTCTATGCTGATGGTAAAGAGTCTAATGTGGGGCTTGAACTGATGAACCGTGAGATCCTGACCTGAAATCAAGAGTCAGGAGCCTAACTGACTAAGCCACCCAGGCACCCCTTATATGTTGCTGATTTTGATTAGCTGGTGTTTTGTGTCTATATTCAAAGAGATATCATCTGTAGTTTTCTTGTGATGTTTTATCTGGTTTCGGTAACAGGGTAATATAGGATGAATCCAGAAGTATTCCTCTTCTGTTTTTTAGAATTTTTTTTGTGGAGAACTGGTATCAATTCTTTTTCAGATGTTTTATAGAATTCATCAGTGAAGCCATATAGGCCTGGGCTTTTCTTTGTGGAATTTTTTTTTAAATAAAAATCCAATTTCTTCACAATCGTTGGTAGTGTTAGAATTTTTTAAATAACATTTTGATCTTCTAGTAAGACAATAACATTTTTTGAAAGCATACGAACTTTGGAAATAGACCAGCAAATAGACCTAGGATTGAATTCTATCTCTGGAGTTTCAACCTGGGGGTAAATTTCTTAATATATCTGAATCTCAGTGTCCTTATCTGCAAATTAAGGAAGATAGTATCATTTTGTAAGGTTGAAACGTCCAGGTCAGGCATGCCCTGAGAGTTTTGATCGAGATGGCCTCATCACCAGGCTCTGGGTAGCTTTTTTTTCTTAATGTTTATTTATTTTTGGGAGAGAGAGCGAGAGAGCAAGAAAGCACAAGTGGGGGTGGTGAGCAAGAGAGAGAGAGAGAGAGAAGGAGACACAGAATCCAAAGCAGACTCTAGGCTCCGAGCTGTCAGCACAGAGCCCAATGTGAGATCATGACCTGAGCTGGAGCCGGCCACTTAACTGACTGAGCCACCCAGGCGCCCCAATTTTTTAAAAGTGTTTTTATTTATTTATTTATTTATTTATTTATTTATTTATTTATTTTGAGAAAGAGAGAGAGTGGGGGAGAGAATCCCAAGCAGCCTCCATGCTGTCAGCACAGAGCAGGACAAAGGGCTCAATCTCACAAACCATGAGATCATGACCTGAGCTGATATCAAGCGTTGAATGCTTGACCGACTGAGCCACCCAGGTGCCCCTCTGGGTAGCTTTTGCGATACCTTCACAGCCTCCCCCCACTGTTACCCACTTTTCTGCCACAGGGTGCTGTGCCATTCCTGGTTAGTGCCACCTCTGGCACTACCGTGCTGGGGGCCTTTGACCCCCTGGAGGCAATTGCTGATGTGTGCCAGCGTCACGGGCTGTGGCTCCATGTGGATGTGAGTGGGACGGGCCCGGGGGGGGGGGGGGGGGGCCGAGGCAAGGCCAAGGCCCATGTTATCCCTTTTGCTCCACAGGCTGCCTGGGGTGGGAGCGTCCTGTTGTCACAGACACATAGACATCTCCTGGATGGGATACAGAGGTGCATATGGCCACCTAATTCCTGAATCCCACCCTTCAAATCCTTGGTCTAGAGACTAGTCCTGGACTAGGGAGTGAGGGAAGGAGGTTGGCGGGAGGGGGATTGGAGAGATGGCAGACTGGGGCTGGGAGGTCAGATGCCAGGCCTGGGAGTTCTTCCTGGCTGCTGGGCTGGCGTGAGACCAAAGCCCCCTTTACTGGAGATGTGGAGGAGGAGGGGGGCTCCGGTTGAGCAGCTTGAGGAGGAGCCGGCTGCTCCAGCTCTGCTGTGCCCACCCCAGGGCTGACTCCGTGGCCTGGAACCCCCACAAACTCCTCACGGCAGGCCTGCAGTGCTCAGCTCTTCTTCTCCGGGACACCTCGGTGGGTCTGCCCTGCCCCTGTCCTCCCTCACCTCTCACCCTGGACCTCTGTCTTCCTTTCTGTTCCCCCTTAGAGAGGGTCCTGGCCTTACCGTGTCCTCCTTACCGTCCCATCTGAAGCTGGGTAGCTACATCCCCCTAATCCCTTGTAGTGCTCCCCCACATCACCCCCGGCCACACTTGTGGCCTGTCTTCATGCAAAGGAAAATGTTTCCATCTTGAGGTTGTAATGGAAGGATCCTGGGCCGAGCCTGGGGTGAGCTCCGTGGGTGGGGAGAACACGGGGAGGAAGGAGCCTGGGTCAGCTGGCAGCCATCTCAGGAGTTCCACCCAGTGCCAGGGACAGAACTTCCCCCCCCCAACCCCGGGCAGGTCCAGAGGAAGCCTTGGTGGAGAGGGTGGGGTCTGACAGTCTTGCCCCTGCTCTCCCCGCCGACAGAACCTGCTCAGGAGCTGCCACGGCGCCCAGGCCAGCTACCTCTTCCAGCAGGACAAGTTCTACGACGTGGCTCTGGACACTGGAGACAAGGTGGTGCAGTGCGGCCGCCGTGTGGACTGTCTGAAGCTGTGGCTCATGTGGAAGGCGCAAGGGGGGCAAGGGCTGGAGCGGCGTGTGGACCGGGCCTTTGCCCTTGCCCGGTAGGAGTGGCGGCTGTCTGAGGTCCTCTCTCCCAGGATCCTGTTCAGTCCCGTCCTGACCCCCCCATGTCTTCACCCCTGCACCTCCACGCCCGCACCTCACGTTTTTCTTGCCCTCAGGGTCTCTTGACTCATTCTCTGGGTCTCTTCTGTTTCTGTATCTCTGCCTTTCCTCCTCCATTTGTGATCTCTCCCTCTCTGTTTCCAGGTACCTGGTGGAGGAACTGAAGAAGCGAGAAGGGTTTGAGTTGATCATAGAGGTATGACCAGCTCTGCTCTTTGGCATCCCCCTGCCGCCCTCCCCCCTCAGTCTATCCCACACAAAGTCCTGATGCAGAAGAGGGGCAGTGAGAGGGGATCATCCCCCCTTCCACGGCTCATACCTTCTCCTCCCACATTCCTCCCAGCCTGAATTTGTCAATGTGTGTTTCTGGTTCGTGCCCCCCAGCCTTCGAGGGAAGCAGGAGACCCCAGATTACAGTGAAAGGCTGGCTAAGGTAGGCTGTCTCTCTCTTTCTGGCTCTGGTTAGCCCAGTTGAGGGAATGGTAATGCATCTGGTGTGTTTCTGCCCCCTGCTGGCTGTGAGTGGCATAGCAGGTCCCTTTACTAGTCTTGCTCCTGACGTTGGGGACGTTAACTGGGAGCCGACGATGGCACCAGCTTATCCTCATTTCTGTGGGGTTGGGGATGGGGAATAAGGTATGTTTTTGGAAAGCACAAGGAAGACAGAGAGAGATATTACGGGAGAAGTCACCAGTACGTAGTCTGTGGAAGCTCAAGTCTGCTGAAGCTCAGGACAGACACTTGAGGCCTTATTCACTGATGTTGGGGACAGAACAACCCTATAAGGCCAGTCCAGACAGGCCTCTTAGAGGAAAGGAGATATGTCACGTCCTGGTCCCTGAGGATAGATTGGCACTAGATACTGTAGATGGTCTGAAAGGCCAAGAATGTTCTTGCCCTTAAAGAGTTATTTAGAAAACTAGAGCTACCTATTTGAAACCAATATTTTGGATACAATCTTGTAAATTACATGGTAGATTACAGGGTACAGATCACAACCATTCCAGGAATTCAGACAGAGGAGAAGAAGGTGTTAAGGGCGCTGAAGGCTAGATGTTGGACTAAAGCAGGGTTGGGAGCCAGGGAACAATCAGGATTTGGCAGAAAATGGCCTGTGTGACAACTTGGAGATAGGTAAGGTAGGAAGTGATGCAGGAGCTAGAGACAGTCAAGCAGGTTGGACATAGTGGGAGAGGCAAACTGAGGCCAAGTTCAGGGGCGAAGCAGTGAGGACTCCCTCTGGAAGGTGGTTGAGTGAGGGGGAAATGCATTTCAGGGAGCTTGACCTGAGGCTGCAGCTGGAACTTCTCTTCACCCTTTCCACAGGTGGCCCCGATACTCAAGGAGCGCATGGTGAAAGAGGGCTCCATGATGATAGGCTACCAGCCCCATGGGACCCGGGGCAACTTTTTCCGTATGGTCGTGGCCAACCCTGCACTGACCCGAGCTGACATGGACTTCCTTCTCAATGAGCTGGAACGGCTAGGCCAGGACCTCTGAGCCGCCTCCTCGCTGCTGGCCTTGAGACACCTCACTTCACCCTCATTGTCTCTGTGTATTCCCTTCCTGTGTTGTCAAGAGTAGAGTGATCTTAACAATTTTTTATGTGTTGACCCACTAACTCTCCTGTTAAATACTTGCTATTGGGGCGCCTGGGTGTCTCCATAGGTTAAGCACCTGACTCTTGATTTTGGCTCAGGTCATGATCTCACGGTTGATGAGTTTGAGCCCCACATTGGGCTCTATGTAGACAGGGCAGACCTTTCCTGGGATTCTCTCTCCCTCTCTCTCTCTCTGCCCCTCCCCTGCTCATGCTCTTTCTCTCAAAATAAATAAATAAACAAAAAAATATATATGCTGTTAGGAGAATATATAAACTACTGTACATCCACATGATGGAATGTTACTCTGCCATTAAAATTACAAACATCTGTTTATAAACATAAAAGAATAAGAACATAGAATAAGATTTTTATTGATATGAGAAAATATGATTTTAACATATGTAATATATAAAAATATATATTATATATAATAACATTATAAATCATGTTATATTGAAAAAGCTGAATACAGAACTTTATATATAGTAGTAGCTGAGCTTTGTTCAAACACACATAAGGAAAAGACTGGTAAAATGAGATATGCCAAATGTTAATAATTTTCCTTGGGATGGGATTATAGGCAATTTATAATTAACTTCTTTATACCTTTTGTGCCCTCCCCTTTTATTATATAATGAATATGCATTACTTTTATAATAGGGACATAATAAAGCTAAAACTTCAACTGTATTTTTTTTGTATGTTTTGAAGTTTGTTACTTTTCAACCAGATAATAGAGAATGGGAATTTTTTTTAAAAGGCAAGTATAAGAGAGGGTAAAAATAGGAAAATTTTTCTCAAGAAATCTTTAGTAGGAAGTACTGAAAGTGGAGTAGCTCTAAAATTAACTGTACTTTAGTGACATTGAAAGCAAAATGGGCTGATTGTATGTTGAGACTGAGCCTTGTCTACTCACCACTCTCACAAAATCCTTACATGCAGAATACTTTTCCTTCTGTAGAGGTGCCTAGCTGGCTCATTTGGGAGAGCTTGTGACTCTTGATCTTGGGGTCATGAGTTTCAGTCCCATGTTCGGTGTAGAGATTACTTATATACATATAAACATTAAAAAAAATTTTTTCCTTCTGTAATTTAAACAAACCAAGTTAGAAAGAAAGAAAGGAAGAAAAAAAGAAAGAAAGAAAGAGAAAAAAAAAAGGAAAGGAAAGAGACAACTGGGTGGCTCAGTCGGTTCAGCGTCCGACTTCGGCTCAGGTCATGATCTCACAGTTTGTGGGTTCGAGCCCCACGTCAGGTTCTGTGCTGACAGCTCAGAGCCTGGAGCCTGCTTCAGATTCTGTGTCTCCCTCTCTCTATGACCCTCCCCTGCTCATGCTGTCTCTCTCTCTCTCTCTCTCTCTCTCTCAGAAACAAATAAAAACTTAGAAAAGAAAAGCCCAGCAGGAAAACATCCATTTCACATTTACAATCCTGGACTGCCATTGCTTTCAGTCACTTTTCGGCAAAGAGGCAATTAGCTGCGCAAGTGGTTTTGTTTTGTTTTGTTTTTGTTGTCCAAGGTTTACTGAAGATCTCGTAGCCCAGCAGAAAGATTCAAATGGCTCCACGTGGTGTTTTGAAATTCATCCCACCTATAGGCTGAGTGACCTGCAGGTCGGACAGACTACCAAAGTAGAAGACTTTTCAACATTTCCCTGGTGTGAGGATCTACCTCAGTGCTCTCGAGATCCAGGGCTGAGACCTCAGGACCCAGTTTTCTCTCCTTTCTCTCAACAGCTTGATAGAGAGCCCTCTCACTGGGCCTCTCTGAATGTGCCCCGTCTGATGTGTGACGGGTGTGTGACAGCCTGCCGTCTTGTTGCAGAGCTCCTGCTGGGGATGGTGGCCGTCTCCCCACTCACGCTGTCGCTGGTCTGGACGTGGCCGCCCGGGCACGTGTCCTTCTCTGTGACGACCCAGCTGCCTTCTTCACGGCTTTGGTGTCAACACGGCCCATGTTGGCAGGTCTGGTAAAAGAGGAAACAGTGCTCTACAAATGATTAAGGACAAGTGACAAATTTCCCAATTCCTAAAAATACCGTTTATGAAAACAATAATGTGGTCACGTAGAAATCATCCAACGTTATTTGAAGAGGCAAATACGGTACAAACCGTAGCAAAAGAACATCCAAATTGCAGACCCAATGCTCTTGGCAATGTGGCCTGGGGAAAAAGCCTTTCTATTCAGAAATTACTAATACTTCCCCTATAGACTTATTACTCTATAAATGGTATTTAACTTCTTCCAAACAATAAAATTGTTTGAGAGTATTAATAATTTGAGGTCTAACCCCTATTCTTTTTTTTTTTTCTTTAAATGTTTAATTTTGAGAGAGGGCTCGCAGGAGAGGCAGAGAGAGGGGAGGACGGAGGATCCAGAGTGGGTTCTGTGCTGACAGCAGAAGGCCCAATGTGGGGCTTGAACCCACAAACTGAGAGATTATGACCTGAGCTAAAGTTAGAGGCTTAAAGGACTGAGCCACCCTCTGAGCCCTATTCTTTTTTTTTTTTTTTAATTTTTTTAAAATGTTTTTTATTTTATTTCTAGGAGAGAGAGAAAGAGAGAGAGACAGCGTGAGCTGGAGAGGGTCAGAGAGAGAAGGAGTCACAGACTCCGAAACAGGCTCCAGGCTCTGAACTGGCAGTCAGCACAGAGCCCGACGCGGGGCTCGAACCCACGAACCGCGAGATCATGACCTAAGCGAAAGTCAGACGCATAACCGACTAAGCCACCCAGGCGCCCCTTCTGAGCCCTATTCTTAAAGAGTTCTATATATCTGCAAAATGTCTTAAACTTAGTGAAAAAAACAAACTAAAAAGATCCTTACTTTCAATTCAAAACAAAGCTAGAAAGCAAAAACAAAAAATCTTCAAAATCCTTACTTAAATCATCTCCATTTGAGAAACATATTTTTTTAATGTTTTATTTATTTCTAGGAGAGAGAGAGAGAGACAGCGTGAGCAGGGGAGGGTCAGAGAGAGAGGGAGACACAGAATCTGAAGCAGGCTCCAGGCTCTGAGCTGGCAGTCAGCACAGAGCCCGACGCGGGGCTCGAACCCACGAACCGCGAGATCATGACCTAGGCGAAAGTCAGACGCTTAACCGACTAAGCCACCCAGGCGCCCCCATTTGAGAAATATTTTTAAGAGAAGGTCAGAAAGACAAGACCTAGATTCCATTGATCATCAGGTTTTCTCCAGCTTTATATGCTAATGCTTCTACTCTTCTATTTTTTTTTTTTTTTTAAAGTAAGCTGTATACCCAACATGGGGCTTGAACTAACAACCCTGAGATCAAGAGTCACATCTTCTACTCACTGAGCCAGCCAGGTGACCCTGTTTCCTATTCTCAAAATTCAACCTCTAGGGGGTCACCTGGGTGGCTTAGTTGGTTAAGCCTCTGATTTTTTTTTAATTAAAAAATGTTTTTAATTTTTTATTTTATTTCTGAGAGAGAAATAGAGACAGCGTGAGTAGGGGAGGGTTAGAGAGAGGGAGATACAGAATCTGAAGCAGGCTCCAGGCTCCGAGCTGGCTGTCAGCACAGAGTCCAACACGGGGCTCGAACCCACGAACCGTGAGATCATGACCTGAGCCGAAGTCAGACGCTTAACCGTCTGAGCCACCCAGGCACCCCGTTGTTGTTGTTGTTGTTTTTAATTTTTAATGTTTATTTATTTTTGAGAGAGAGAGGCAGACTGCAAGTGGGGGAGAGGCAGAGAGAGAGAGGGAGACACAGAATCCAGAAGCAGACTCCAGACTCCGAGCTGTCAGCACAGAGTCCAGTGCGGGGCCCAAACCCACGACCTGTGAGATCATGACCTGAGCCAAAGTCGGTCGCTCAACCAACTGAGCCACCCAGGTGTCCCAAGCCTCTGACTTCTGCTCAGGTCATGATCCCAGCTGTTGTGAGTTAGAGCCCCACATCGGGCTCTCTGCTGTCAGCATGCCTCTCACTTCAGATCTTCTCTCCTCCTGTCCCTCCTCACTCTCAAAAATAAATAAATATTTTAAAAACTTCAACCTTGCTTTTTTTTCGGGGCTGCTAGGTCGGTACATGTCAAGTGGTGCCCATGGCGAGGAGGGCTCAGCTTGAATGCGAAGGCCATCACCTACTTCGTAGCTCTTCCTGGCGTGAGAGTGAGCATGCTGAATGTCTTCCTGGAGTCACATCACATGAAAGATCCCTGTTCGTCGCCTACTGCGATCTCCTTATCAGGTCCAAGCCCTTTCCCTGGGGAGATGGTTATCATACCCTCTATTCCATAACTCTCTCATGATTCCACTTCTGACCTGCTATGAAGATGAATAAAGAGAACCTGGACCACTACCCAGTGGGGACCACAGTCCTGGTTCGGACCATGACTCTGCACACGGACCAGAAAAGTATCTGAGACCTTAAGCTCACTTTCCTTACTTGTATCAAATGATGACCAGTGTACTGGTCTTCCATCCCTTTGCTTATGGCAGGAGATGGCTTAAATAAACAACTTAGACTGGTCCACGAAAAAAAATAATTCAACCTCTAAATCTCTGGATACAATACGGCAGTCTCCCTCCTGCTGCCTCTCTCTCATCACCATTTATACAGCGCTCCTGCCATGTGTGATTCCTTACCCTGCCTTTGAAGAGCTTAAGACTTAAGCAGTCATCCCTCATCTGAGGCATGTCACTGCCCCAGGGCCTTTGCACCTGCTATCCCCTTTTGCCTCAAAATTCATCTCTCTATGTGGTTTACACCCTCACTGACTAGGTTTCTGTTCGGTTGTCATCTCCTTAGTGAAGTTTTGCTTGAATATTCTACTAAAAATTACATTTTCACCTTCTGTTCTTCAATTTGCTATTCTATCATCTGCCTTGCTTTTCTCTGTGGCATGGGTAAGTATCTGGGATAGTTGATATTTCAGCTTATCTATCTATCTATCTATCTATCTATCATCTATCTATCCATCTATCCATCCATCTACCTGTCTATCTATCTATCAATCATCTATCTATCCATCCATCCATCCACCCATCTACCTGTGTATCTATCTATCTATCTACTTATCAATCAATCAATCATCTATAGTATATTTAACTTTTTTTCTATCTC